ATACTATACAGCAGTTAATATTAAACTAGAGTTATGTGCATCAATATGGGTAAACAATATCAAATTTAAAAAACAGCATGCAGGATATGTGAAGTATATTCCATTATATATAGTTTTAAAGCATAATAAAATCAAACATATTATTCATGGACACAAACATATATATTTTGTTTGTTTGTTTGTTTTTGTTTGTTTTCTAAATCCTCATCAGAGGATAATCTTCCATGTATCTTCAGATAGGGGGGCACATCAACTTGAGAGAGACATCGATTGGCTGCCTCCCACACAACCCCAACTAGGGCCAAACCGAACCACAACAGAGGTGCATGCCCTCAACCAGAATCGAACCCACAACTCTTTGGTCCAAGGGCCGACGCTCTAACCGCTGAGCCAACCCAGCCAGGGCACAAACATGTATTTTTAACAATAGGAAATATGCATGAGAATAATATATCAAATTCATATCATGGTTGTTATTTCTAAGTAGGGAAGAAAGGGCTTCAACTGTACTGGAGCTTTTTTATATAAAAGATCTAAACTGTGGCCAACTGGTAGTTGCTCACCTAATATCTACTTTCCTTTTCTTATAATCAAACTGCTGTACTACTAAGACTGGCCATTTGTATACCCTGGCTTGCCTTGCAGATTAAGGTAGCCAGTAAGATTAAATCAGAAATCACTGGGTGGAACTATGGGAAAAGTACTGAAAGGGGGACCGGCTTCACTGGGACCTGGGCCCCTTTGTCCTTATGCCTTCCTTGATCCTCCTGCCTGGAACGCGAACACAAAGGATGGAGCTGGTAGGAGGACCTTCTTTGCAACCATGAGATGACCCTGAGAAATAAAGCTACAAGCTAAAGACTGCAAAGCAGAAAGATAAAAAGTGCGGGTCCTTGATGACCACATAAACTGCCATATCCTGAGAGGAAAAACTCTCTTTAAAGCACTTTGTTGGGGGGAAGTGGGAGTGTAGGGATCTTTCAGATGCTAACTGACATGAAGCAAACAGAGTAAATGTTAAGACAAGACATGGGGGAAAGATGGGTTCATGAGTGTTCCTTATCTTCTCCTGTACTTTTATATATATTAAATTTCTTTATTAAATATGTTAGCCCTGGCCAGAATGGCTCAGTTGGTTGGGCATCATCCTGTGTACCCAAAAGGTTGCTGGTTCAATCCCTGGTAGGGGGCCTGCAGGAGGTAGCTGATCAATGTTTCTCTCTCCTTTTCTCTTCCTCTCTAAAAATTAATAAAAAATCTTAAAAAATAAAGCAGAGATTCTCAAATGTTACCCACAGACAACTGTTAGCCAACAGATAAAGCCAAAATGCAAAGGCAACATGTATACTTTATGAGGTGGTTAACCAGAGCAGATATTCACAACTGAGGGTACCAAAGTTTGCCACCCCAAAATATGCCTTTGGAATATTGATTTTTAAGCTGGTTATTAAAACACAAGACTCAGGAAGAACCTTTGATCCTCCCAAACTTACCTTCCTAAAGGAATTCAGATAGAAAAACTTGCTTAAAGGGAGCATCACCCTAATGTGGTACAGGGAGAAATCTAGCAAAACCTGTTTGCTGGACTCCCTATTATTTCAGGTGGGCCAGTAAGAATTTATTTACCACATGTTTGTACTTTCTCATTTACCTGTGAATTGCCTGCTTTCCTTTGAAGTCCCAGTCCCAGACCTCAATTGCCCAATCTGTCCTCCAGTCTCATATTCTTACGGAACTTCCACATGCATACAGTCATCCCTCAGCCACTGTGATACAGTGAAGCCACAGAAGTCCGAAGTGTGAAGTGGCGAGGGACAACTGTATATAAATAAAGAATCCTACTTCGCGGAAATTCATTTATCGTGGTAGAGTCTGGAACTGATTAACCGTGATAAACGAGGGCCGACTGTATATATAATAAATTTGGACCTTTTCCCTTGCTAACCTGTCTCATGTTAATATGACTACTGGTCCAGCCAGAAGAACTTAAAAGACAGAAGAAAAATTTATTTTTCATCCCCACACTAGAAACTGGCCTACCACACTCAGAGAGAGCTATACTATAGCTACCAGCATTGCTATTGCCAATTTGGATAAGAAACAAGACTGTAAGATACCACAGTCTCTTGGCTCTGGGGTATGGATAAAAAGACCAAAAACAATTTGCAGACTAAATGGAAACTCTGTTGTCATTCCCTTTCCCCTATTTTTCCTTCTCCTTGCATTCCCCAGAGTTCAGTGCCATACTTTTTCTCCTCCACAACTGAATCATCTGCGAAGAAAAAATTATCAAAGGATAGTACTCTAAGAGGAAGATTATTCATCTTTTACAATTGCAAACTTGAAGGTTCTTTTGAGAATTAGTTCACTTAAAATAATGTGTAATGTTACTGAAGTGGTGTTTTGAATTCAAAAAGTTTTAATTTTTTTTCTCAACAGACTAAATAAAAACAGAAATTTGGGATAGGGGAAATTTTGGCCTAAGATAATATTTAATTACCATATGAAAAAAAACCTTTGTTCATTTATTAGTATGTTACAGAAAGACAGTGCTTTAGTTAATCATGAATTCTACTGCATAGATTTATCACAGGTACCACACACTGCAAAACACATATAATCTTCTTTTCTCCTTAACTAGTCAGCTATTTCGTACATCGATTTTTGTTTTGTAGTTTTTTTATTTCCTAATTTGGTTTCTTTCTTATTTGGTTTCGATCTAAAGTCACTTAACTTCTTTTCTTAGCATGTAACTTTAGTGGTTGTTCTGCATTCTCTCCTGCTGATCTTATTCGACTTTCTGGCCTGTTTCCTTTTATTTCTGTGAATGGCTATTCTAGGCTTCAAGACCTAGTCTCAGATTGCTTCTGCATTGATACGAGTTAAGATCAGTGCTAGATGATAACATCCCAAGCGCCTTTTAGGGGCAGATGACAGGATTTGTTTCCTGCTCTCAGAACCTAAACACCACTGTAATTAGGATCTTAGTAATTAGGATCTTAGCAATGTAGTAGAAAATTAACAAGTTAATTATTTTACCGGTCCCTAAAATAATCCTATTTAATTCACATCAATAACTCAAAACATTTCTTCTGCATTTTTAAAAATCCCACCTAATTCTTGCCCAGCTGGTGTGGCTCAGTGGGCTGAGAGTCATCCCATGCACTAAGAGGTCATTGATTCGATTCCTAGTCAGGGCAAATGCCTGGGTTGCGGGCTCCATCCCTTGGTAAGGGGCGTGCGGGAGGTAGCCGATTGTTTCTCTCTCATCGATGTTTCTATCTGTTTCTCCCTCTCCCTTCCTCTCTTTCTAAAAATCAATAAAACAGCACCTCTTTTTAAAAATTAACTAATTAATTAATTTAATTCCACCTAATTCTCAAAATTGTAATCTGCTAAAACCTCTGAACAGTTGGGTTATCCCTCCTTTCCTTCTTACATACACTAAACAGTTGAACATTTGTCTTTATTACCAATAGAAATATAACTAAAAGATAAATTTTTTGCAAATGGCACTCTCTACTTCAGCTTTAGAAAATTTAAAAATTAAGTTCATCAGCAAAATTTTCCCCCACACATACTATGTTACAGCCTACTTTTAGCTTCATTACAATAACCACAATTTCAAGAGGAATAACTAGAAAATATTTAAGATACTATATTTAGCCCTGGCCAGTTTGGCTCAGCGGCTGGAGTGTCAGCCCTTGGACCAATGAGTTGCAGGTTTGATTTCAGTCAAGGGCATGTACCTCAGTTGGTCCCTGGCCCTGGTAGAGGTCATGTGGGAGACAGCCAATCAATGTGTCTCCCTCACGTCAATGTTTCTCTCTCTCTCCCCCTCCCTCCCTCCCACTCTATCTGAAGATAAACAGAAATAAAATATCCTCGGTGAGGATTAAAAAAATAAAATAAAGATACTATATTTACACATTATCAAAGATCATACACTTTTTAATGAATATAACTTTAGAGCTTTTAAGAAAAGTCCTCACAGTACTGAGAGGTTAGTTAAATTAACTGTAACTTTCAGTTTTGCATTTTGCTGTGCTTTTATTTTTATTTATTTAATCCTCATCTGAGATATTTTTCATTTATCTTCAGATAGAATTAGAGGGAGGGAGGGAAGAGGAAGGAGAGAAAGGGAGAGAAAGAGAGAAATAGCCACGTGAGAGGGACATATTGACTGGTTGCCTCCGGCACAACTCCAACCAGTGTGGGGGACAAACTGCAACCAAAGTACCTGCCCTTGACCGAAATCAAACCTGCAACTCACTGGTGCGCTCTAACCGCTAAGCCAAACCGGCCAGGGCTTTTTAAAAAATAATTTTTCTTTATTGATTGTAGAGAGAGAAGAAGGGAGAGGGAGAGAGAGAAAGACATTGATGAGAGAGAAAATCTACTGGCCGCCTCCTGCATGCCCCGCACTGGGGATGAGGCCCACAAACTGGGTATATATCCTGTCCGGGAATCGAACTGGTAACCTCTTGGTGCATGGGTTGATGCTCAACCACTGAGCCACACCAGCTGGGCTTGCTGTGCATTTAACTGCCCTAAACATGCTAAGTCCTTGATTACTGAAAAAAAAAGAACAGCAAAGCAGTCTTAAAGGAGATGAAAACTTCACCTGATATATAGCAAAATTTAAAGAGCCCTACTCTTCAGGGAGAGTTATTTTTAAAAATCAGAAAGAGGGGAAGGGATAAAAATAATATAGTTATTGTTCTATTTCTTCATAAGAGTTTTTTCATAGAAACCAAATGTAACATGTATATTTGTTTGAGTTTCAAATCTACAAACTGAGTCAAAAAGACACTTTGGAACTATTGGGGAAATTTGACTATGACTGTTTATTAGATGATAGTAAGGAATTATTGTTAGTTTTATCAGGAATAACAACAGTATTATAGCTATAATTCAAAAAATGTTCTCATTTTATTTTATTTTTAAATTCTCACCCAAGGACATGTTTGTATGTTTGTTTGTTTGTTTGTTTGTTTTAGAGAGAAAGAGAGACAGACAGACATGGATCGGCTGCTTCCCAAACACACGCCATCCAGGGCGAGGGAATGAACCCCAAACCTAGGTATGTGCCCTGTCCGGGAATAGAACCCACAGGATGATGCTCCAACCAACAGAGCCACTCCAGCCAGGGCAAAAATGGTCTCATTTTTAAAAGACTCATACTGAAGAGTGTTGGGGGTTGAGGAGGAGGTTAGAGGTGAAGCATGTATGGTAAATCTTACCTTTGATGAATCTGGAAGATGGATACAGGTTTAAGGGGGTTCATTTTACCATTTCCTCTACTTTTATCGATGTTAGAATTTTCTAAAATATAAAGTTAAATTTCAGAGAGCTGAAAGCTAAATTAGAATTACAGATGGATTAAACACCCTACTTTTGCAAGCCAAATATTGCAAACACTGGTGTTTTGTCAACAAAATCAAGGCATACGTTCATTCACTTAACTTCAATTTTATAAGTACCTATTTACTATATACAAGCATTTCACCAGACTTTGGGAGAACAAAGATGAGTTTGACAATGTCACTGTCCTTAGAGAGGAGAAAGTTAATGTGAATACCTGTGATAAAGGATTCCAGGTGGTCAGACAAAGGTAGAGAGAACAGCAACCACAGGCAGAAGATGGAAGGGTAACAGTGTGAATGCCTGCAATGTGCACATGCATTACATTTGTAATCACTGCTGCTCAATGAAAGAGGAACTACTCATGAAGTTGTGTAGGGTTGTTTTGTTTTGTTTTCCATCCAGACCCCAACCCCAGTAGAAATGAATCAGATTCCACAAGTATGGGTTTCTTCTATGAATGATTATGCATTAGAAAATTTTATCCTAACAGTCCTTTTCAAGTTGGTCTTATCTTCCTTTTCATCTGAGGAAACTGAAAAGGCCTAAACTTTAGAGGTGGGCAGAACTTCGACATTTAGGAAACGGAAGGGTCTGAGAAGTCAGAGAATAATCTAGAGAGTGGCACATAAACTCCAAAGAGGACAAAGTTCTGAGAAAGGAGTTCTCCACAATGCAAAAGCTACAAAGAAAGTATTAAGTGACACTCAAAGCTATCTCTGTCAAGTATTTTGTAAGCTACCGTGAGTCTGGTGATTTAAACAAGACCCAAACATCAGGTCTCACAAACTGTGCTAAATCAAAGAAATGAAACGTTACTCCAGATTTCGGGGTGAGGACATTTCAAGCCTTACTACTGGCCACATTAGCCATTTGCAGTGTAAGGCCGGATTAAAAAACTGAAGTTCCCAACCAGGAAGGCTATCCTTCTTTTAACAGGGATGTAAGTTAAAGGAGAAGAATGAAAGCACAACAATTACTGAGCATTTACTACGTGCTACGCACTTTTAGAGGCACCATATAACATAATCCTCCCAATAAACCAATGAGCTAGATACTATTATGTTCATCATCTAACAGATAAGAAAATGGACACTTTAAGAAGTTGGGAATTTGCCCTGGCCAGTTTGGCTCAGCAGTTGGAGCATCGGCCTGCGGACCAGAGAGTCCCAGGTTCAGTTCCAACTAGGGGCATGTACCAAAAACAAAAAAAACAAACAAACAAAAAAAGAAGTTGTGTAATTTGACCAAACTCACACAGACTTTGTCAAGACCAGAATTCAAAATCAGTCAAGTCCCAGTAACCTTGATTAAAACCCATAAATACGTGTACCCTTTAGGGTCCACCTCTGGAATTTATATAAATGGCATTATAATATATTCTTCTGCTATATTTTTGTTGTTGTTGTTAATCCTCACCCGAGGATGTGTTTCTACTGATTTTTAGATGGAGTGAAAGGGAGGAAAAGAGAGAGAGAGAAAAACATCAATGTGAGAGAGAGACATCAATTGGCTGCCTCCCGCACAACCCCGATTGGGGCTGGGGATTGAACCTGCAACCCAGGTACATGCCCTTGACTGGGAATTGAACTCTCAACCTTTCGGTCCGTAAGCAGACACTCTAACTGCTAAGCCTTCTGCTACATTTTTTATTCCAACATCATGTTTTTAACATTCATCAATGTTGATGCATTAATAGTTCATTATTTTTGGTGCTATAGAACAGGGATTGGCAAATTATCATCTTTATAAATAAAATGTTATGGGAACACAGCCAAACCCATTTCATTTAAGGCTGCTTTTGCACTACAAAAGCCAAATTGAATTGCCAGAGACTATACAGCCTGCAAGGCCTAAAAAATTTAGTATATGGCCCTTCACAGAAAGTTTGCTGACCTCTGCCACAGAGTATTGCAGTGGTATATTTGACAGTATTCAAGTTTTACAATTTTGTCAATGTAGTTTTAATTTACATTTCCCTGTTGACAAATATTTGGTGGCTATTGATTTTTCTTCTATGAAATTGCTTTTTCCTTTCTATTGTGCATTTATCTTTTTCACATTGACATATACATGTATATATTGACATATATACATATGTGCATGTTAGTGATTAAAAAATCCTTTGCCAACTATATGTATATCCTTGCCCTAATACTACATTAACTCAATTATTAAAGTTTACATTAACTTTAAATATGGTAAGACAAGCAGCTTCAGAAATATCTTGGCTATTCCTAGCCCTCTACCAAATAAATTTTAGAATTAATTTGTCAAGTTCCACAAAAACAAACAAATGAAACTATACCCTGCAGGGTTTTTACTAAAATAGCAATGAATTTGTTAATGACAGGTTAATTAATATATTTACAAGAGATAGTCTTTCTCCCTATAAACATGGTATGCCCCCATATTTATTTAGGTCCTTAATGTCTTTCAATACATCTTTATAACTTTCTATATAAAGATGTTGACACCTATTTTTATATCTATCCTAGGTAGCTTTGTTTTTCTTTTTTACTGTTGTGAAATATATTTATTATATTTTTTATTGTGAACTACTGGGTTCAAGTAATAGAACTGATTTTACTATATTGATCTTATATTCAGCAACTTGCTAACTATTACAAATCCTAAAAATGTATCTATGGACTTGAATTTTCTAGAAAATGTTAATACTGACTCTAAGGATAACCAATTTGGTCATTCCTTATAGCCTCGTAACTTTTCTTATCATATTGACTAACTAGTAGCTCCAGCGCAATGCTGGAGAGATGGGGTAACAAGAAACATACTTAAATTGTTGCCAATTTTTAAAGGAACACTTACAATATTTCACTATTAAGTATGATGTTTGCTGCAGGTGTTTTTGGGCGTCCTTTGTCAGGTTATGAAATTTCTCTCCTATCCTTAGTTTGTTATGAGTTAGTACCTAAAAAAGTGTTAAATTTTAATAAATGCTTTTTCTAAATCTTTTTGGGAGATACAGGTTTTTGGGGTTTTGTTTTGTTTTTCAGTTTTAAACTGTTCATATGGTAATGACATTAATAGATTTTCTAATACAGAACCACACTTGTCTGCCTAGAAGAAAGACTTTGTTCAGTATGTTGTATTTCCTTTATACACTGGTGAATTCAGCTTGCCTAATATTGGGGGGGAGGCTATTATAGTTGCCATTCAGTATCAGCTTGCCTAGTTATTTTTGATAGCTTCTTGCTCCACTGCCATATTTTTATACTCTCTGAACATACTAAACATTTGTTATATTCTGTATCTGACAACTAGAATATCTGTAGCTTCTGAATGTCTGACCAAATAGCCCCCTAGTTCTGCTAATTAACTCACTGTGACTTATTGGAAGTGTTTTGGATTTTTTTTAAGTGAGTTCATGTTCCTAGAAACGTTACCTGTGTCAATTCTCTAAGATCTGTGTTCCTATATTTCCCCAGGAGGATTTGGTTTCTCAGCCATAACAACCTCAGATCACTTTTCACTAAATTCTTGGGGGCAAGGGGACACGGTGGCAGAATGTGTGTGTTTCAGGTAGTATTAGCCCTGACCCCAAATCCAGTAAGTGGACTTCTAGTTGTAATTTCTCAAGGAAGACCATTTTACCTTTTCAGTGAAAGACAAGCTGAGACAGGGAACCCTCCTTACCTCACTCCTACTCAGCCGATCCCACACTTCTCCCCCCACCCCTGCACTGTGGAACAGGTTTGTAAATTTTTTTCCTAGTTTACCTACTGACCCCTTTTCCAAGGAGTTTCAGCTTTACAGAGTCTCTGGATCTTACTTCTCACCTTACTTGATCCAGGGACTCAGTCTAGTACTCCATGGTCACCCTACAAAATCCAAAGCTCTGGGATTCCAGAGATACCCAGAATAACAACCTATCTCACCATTAGCTTACCTCCCTCCCCTGCACTCAAGATTTCTTGTTTTTAACCTGTGAGAAGTTCCCTTACTTGCTAGTCAGCTCAAATAGGCATTTAAAATACATTTTGACTATTTGGTCCTGTATTTGTAGTTTCATAAAGGGAAGATTTTTTTTTAAATCTCTAATCTACCACACTGCCAGAAACTGAAGCTGCTAAATACTTTGAAGAGTCTGCTAGCTGAGTATTTTTCTCCCCAGAAGAAAGGTACCTCTACTTCTAAAAGCCAAAAAAAGAAAGATTCATTCAGTTAACAAATATGTGGCGAACATATTCTAGGCACTTGGCACAGATCAGTTAACTGAACAAGGATTAATATACTCCAAGACCTTACATGGGAGGAAAGATGCAGACAGCAAATGATAAACATAAGCAAATTGAACTGTATCATAGAAGAGAGTAAGAGCAATGGAAAGAAAGAGAGAAGTCAAGCAGAAGTGGGGAGGGGAATGCTGTGATCTTAAACAAGGTAGTTACTTTTAAAACATTAAGTTCCCCACAACATAACACCAGTTAGTTTTTATTAAACATAAAATTGTAAGAAACTCTAAGTCTTTTCCTTTTCTTGATGTGAAGTAGGATGGCAAGTCCCCTGCAGACATGTTAATAATACATGACTCCACTTGCTTCAAAGACATAGGAGCACACTTTAACAATTAGAGATACTGCGCAAAAAATTATGATGCTACCTATTCAAAAAGATAAAATAAATGAAATGTAAAAATAAAGTTATGGTGAAATCAAGAAGGCACAAATATTTACTGACAGAATGGTTAAATGAGAA